CAGTTACACAACTGTCCGTAGGACTATGTGGCTTGTCACATCCATGTCATGACATTCGGCTTCTAATATAAAAACATATTTTTCACTCTGCGTTCATCGGCTTTGCACGGTCATATCAACTACTTCGGTTTGAACACAGATGGTAAGTAAATACGTGCGGCCAGCCAAAGTAAGCCGCACCTGTATAGTGTAGTTTATTCTACACTAGCGCTGAGTTGGTTTACGAGCGCGAATAAATCTTCTGGATGCCTATGCATTACCAGAAACTTTAATATACAATATGAATACTGTCCTGTGGCAGTGAGTACGGAACAAGTACGTTTTGTGATAAATTAACTCAGAATTTTTACCATCTGTTGCTACCCAAATTTACGGGTCGTTAGGATATCTTGATTTGAAACATTTTCTCATTTCAGTTTCTCTTACCTCGCACTTTTAATGTTCTGGTGATAGGAATTTGTCCGAACCTCCACGGATAACTTTTAATCTATTGCTTACAGGCTCGACGGGGTGATTGCAAGTAATGAATCGGTTAACCTAATACGTTTACATAAAATGTTAATTTTATGAGAATAAAAATCATACAACTTTCATGCAGAAAAGGTCTGTACATCTGTGTACAGTATGTACCATTTAGCAACGGTCGTTGGCCATCAAACGGAATGCGATAGCCTTTCAAAAGTACACACGAGGCAAAATTGAGACATGTTCATTTGCATTTCAATTACAATAAGCTAAAAAACAAGAATACCTGATTGTTTTAAGGGTTGGAAATCTCGTTACACTTATTGGAGGGGTGCTCTGGATAGCGAATGACCGTATCAATTCTGTGACCAGTTTGGGGTTGGGTGATTGCAGTAGATTAGATATGCCAAACAAACGCATGTATTTTCACCGTGTTTTGATGCTAAATTAGATCACAAGACCCACTTAAAAATTGATCTCTAACAAAGGACTGCTCAAAAAAGACAAGTGCGTGACGTTGTATTGATTACAACTACTGAGTACAAAGTATTTTGCCGGTATTCTGCGCCACTGACATCAGCACATCAAGTCCAAAAATTTCGTTTCATTCTGTTATTTTAAGAACCGCAGAAAATGAAGATCTTGCCTAGCTTTTTGAACAGATATCTTCAAATGGACTATGTCTACTTAATTTCAGCACGTCTGTTTGCACATCTACCATATAGTACAAAACTGTTGATGTCTCTAGATTGCGGGAGTATTCTACCAATACTAATTTAACTGCAAGATGCAATTATAATGTCCTCAGTGCCGAAGTTCATCTACTAATATACTTTAAATTTAGTAGTTTGGAGAAAGATCCTTAGCCATAATTTTCTATTTCGGTAAGATACGCGCGCTTTTATGTGGCCGCAAATGTGTGTACGATTTGGAATATTCCTTCTCCTGTTCACAATAATTAATTATCCGCTAGTGTCTTTAGCTGCTGCGTAAAAGTTCTGTGTTATATTTTAATCACTTGTGTTTAGTTAATTTTTCATAGCTAAAATGGTCGATGAAATCGGTGTTAGTCGTTTCCATTTTAGAAAATTAATAGTTTGAATAGGGATGTTAACGATATTACAAACCTTCTTAACCTTTGGAACTAAGCTGGAAAGAGAACTCTGCCTACAATTTAAGATACTTTATGCTGTATACCAAGTCAACGAAGGAGGGTTGATAGCAGTTTGCCGGATGAGCATTTTATTCGCAGTTTTTACTAACTCGATAATTCATTACAACTATATTAGCAGGCTGAGTACCGGGTAGTTTCATTGGTAGAATTGATTTAAGAGAAGTACTATTGGCATTTAAGTGGGTAAACTCTACCAGTTTCCAAAAGACCTTGCGCTGAGTTGGAAAGCGTTAAGCGCTTTACAAAAAGATCAAAGCGAAACTGCATGGACTTTATATAACAAAACGTCATAGTAGTCCTTTATTCGACATTATGTTGCGGGTGACACAGCAGGCTCAGATGAAAGAGACGATGTCATCACACTTCACATCTTAGTGTGATAGCAAACTGACGTTAGTAAATGCAATGCGACAAATGTTATATCTAAACGCCTCATTGAAGTCAGCCATTCGGCTGAGAATGCTCTGAAAAGCTTTGTTTTGTCAACAAACCTGTACATACAAATTTTAAATCGATGCACACGTCCACGCGGGAACATATATCAAACCCGTTGCCGGATGTTCATGGTAGCATGAGCGAAAGGCAAGCAGCAGCTTAAAATGCCCCACCAAAATTACTGAAGGAGGCACTCCTTGAAAGAACATAATTTGGGCTTCACACAGAAACATTTAGTTTTCTAAAAGCAGTCTGTGCATGTTGCATGCACTGCGCTGAACCTGCCTGCAATTAGAGCGAGATTATGAAAATCCAAACAAAAACCGTAGTTGGGCAAAGCATGCAACCGCTAAGGGTATTCTTATTTTCCTGACGGCTTTTGTCATGATGCGTACCATCAATCACCCTAACTGAGCACATAACTGCACTTATTAATGAAGTAAAGAATATTTCATTAAGTTCAACTGATACGACCGTAGGAAATTCGGACTCGACCTGGCCTCATAAAAACCATTAACAAATACATTTTTGTAATAGTTTTGAAAGTTTTTGAACCGATGCGCTTTCAGTTTTCAAATTCTGCTTGTGCATAAATACCTTTAGAAATACTCAGATCAACTTGACTTAAAGAATTTCTCTTTACCTTGCACCTAGTCACATAGGGAAGCATTTCAAATTTCCGTTAGCTCGAAGCCAGGTCGTTGCACTTCACACCATTATTTGCCTTCATTGTTTTCAGTGGGATATTGGTCCGAAACACGCAAGCGGACCATTATACATTTGTCAAGAAATTGTAATAGTCATCCATGGTTCGTGTAAATCACTTTTTGCGTGGATGGATTGCACCCATCCTCAATCTGGGCAAATTATCCTGCGAAACGGTTCTCCATTATTTCGATCACTGAGACCATAACTAAAACACTAAACTGGTGACTGGTAACTGCGTGTCAGCGCACAGGCAGTGGTGAACCGGAAGCACCAAGTTGCAAGATTGAGCTGCTTGCCTGCTACATCTGTCTGACGACTGTGTGTAAGAAAGCAAGCAAGCTTTTACTGCAGTCGCTCTGGCCGGTAACCTTTATCCACTTCCGCGGACAATCCAATTTGTTCTCGCTGTCTCGAATGAGAAGCAATACATGAATGAACATCATATTTCTTCATCAAATAAATAAAAGAAACTTTTTATTCTCTGAAACGCGAGGCACAACTTTACAGGTATGATCATGTTATTATATGGAAGTGTGCACAAAAATATGCAAGAACACGACATGTTTGTCTTAACAGTATATGAGTGCATGGATGTGTGTGTAACGGTGCATAGTTGTAGTTTTGTAGCTTGTGTTTGTGAGTGTGCTGTTGGCTTTGTGACTGTTTGACAGCGTCGCTTATGTAAGAATAGATGATTTATGTCCGTGAATTGGATGTACTTATCCAGATGTTCACGAAGCAATGAGTTTAGTTTTGGCGAGTCACATTGCCACGTCACAGTGTTGATAAACGAATATTTGTGACTTTGCATAGGGAGAACGCTCTCTCTCACCATGTCCTGGAACATTGCTGCCGAACTACTTGCTGGAACGTGTAATACACGAACCACTGCTGGCATCACGAAGATAGAGTTCGTCTAGTTAAATTGAATTATTTGTCCTGGTTTTCAAGTTTTCTACTGTTTTAAAATTAGTCATTACATGCTGTCGTTGCTGCTTGGTACCGTCTAATTGATAGGTACATACAGGTTAATCACATTTGATAGGTGCCTCAAAAGCTTGTTATGCAAACTATGAAATTAAGTTAATGGTGTGACGATTGCTCTTCGCAAATTGAGTTACTGTACTTCAGGTTGTCCAAGTAACGATTGCCAGCTTCATTGATCAACCACTGTACAACACCAAGACCAGCATAAAACAGGTAAGTAGATATACGTCATTGGCTTTCGATAAAGTCTTAATCTCGGGTGACAGTTTCAGCTCGTGTTGTCTTAGTAGGAGCAGAGTATAAACCGCAATCATTTTTCCTCAAGAGGTTAGAATAAAAATCTGCGACGCTTCCGGGTAACAATACCTTAAATGTGCTACGGGTGTTTAAGAAACAAGCGATATTTTGACAACCAAAAAGCTTTGCTCAAGGAAACCTGTTACCTCAGCCGGAATCACTGAACTAATGTAAGTAATTATAATTTTGAGTACTAATAACAATGTGTGAAATTATATTAAGGCAGCAGCTAATACAGCGTCTTAGACGGAAGAAAAGTCTCACTTATTTCTATAGCACGGTTTCAGATGAAACATTTATGATCCGGTTGAAAACAGGCACTGTGTCAAAGCAAAATTTAGCATCAATGCTGATTGGGTGTGGCCGATTCAACTGGCTAGTCTGTTTTCTAGCCATAAATTCAGATGATCTGAAGCACTATGACTGTTTGATGGTGCTTCTGTCCTAATATATTAGATAATTTAGCCGATTCTTCTCGCATGACGGATAATATTTGCCTAGTATTGTTGGCGTACCACGAATTTATTGTCAATAACCACATTCACCAACTTCTACCAGATATCGTTCAAGGAAGTTTGCCCAGTATTAGTTTACATCTTGTCTCCGATTCCAATAATAAGTTACCAACTAACGAAAACTTCAAGTTAGGTCAGTTTTGTCTAATTATCATGCATAATATGTCATGGGTCAATGGACACTTGAATTTAGTATAGCTAAACTGAGACGGTTGGTAAAACAGTCTATTTATTTACATTCTTGTAAAGCAGGGGCATTCATTGACAGTTAACTGATATGGCAGGCATATGATACCAACTGGAAGGCATGGACATCTTTTGAAAGGTGACGGATAGTATGAACCACCCATCGGATATACAGGTTCTTTATTGGGTAAGGTGGGCAATATGGAGAGCATAGAATGATAAAAACTCCTTACGTTCACACTTCAACTCGTCAAGCTGCCATGTTGAACCAACACAAGTTGCTTTCACCGAATGTCGCTTGAGATCCTCGTAACCAGGGATACAAGCGATTTGAATTGATTCACCAGAACGGTAATCATGTCGACCAGTTGATAACGGTGCCTGGAGTGGATTATCTGAGTGTTCCATAAGTATCTGTGTGTTGGGCACATACGGCGGACTGAAACAAGCTGAGTAGATGAGATAAGCATAAAAGCATGGATAATGCTTAGAAGTGCAAATGATAATAATTTAGTCATATGTATTGGATGCGAAATGTAGTTATTTTCAAGGTTGGTACTGCGCTCCTCTGACACTATGTATGATTTTGGCTTAATTCACTTCGCTAATGCCTCCCGAGTTGGAGAATAAATATATCATATCTGCTTGGTTAATTTAACGTTGACTAAGTTCATTGGATTTTTTAATTAAAATTGTCGCAATATAAATATTACTTCATCATTCACCCTTGTTAATAACTGTCTGATCACCAAGCACATTGATTGAAACCTCCGCAAGTTGATCACTAAAGGGACGGGACCAAAGTGGTCAACTTAGTGAACTGGTCAGGATAAAGAGGTGGCTGCACTGCACTTTAAAATGTAGGTCACCAATTCTAATTCTGATTCACCAATCTGAACGAATCCTTGCATTAATTATTTGGAAGCTTGAGTTCGTTTATATGACAGACATAACTACAGTAGAAAAGAATCATGGGAATTTGGGAAAACTCGGTTGCAAAGAGATCTCTTTCCACAACTTACATCAGTCAACTAAGTTTACGTGGGTTACTGGGATAAGCACAAGCTAATAAAAGCTGAAGAGAAAGTGGTGGAGAGTCTGAGCTAGCTCAATGTGTTCGAACGGAAGGTAAATGGATCGGCTCAGTTGGTGGGCCCAGGTGTCGTGATTACACTCTGCATATCAGTGCACTGACGATGCCACCTGGCATGGTGGCGAAACATTTGCAAACAAATTTCCAGTTCGGAGAACAAAATGGAAGCTGACCTCATATGACCCCACTCGACAGAGCTCGCTGACCAGTCCACACAAAAATTAGGTCAGTCGAGAAGTGAAGCCACCCTCGGTTATCATTAATATTCCTTAATGATGGATCCTCATTACAGTCACGGCAACGTGAGAGATAACAGTAGCATCTTCTGCTCGCAAAGCTCCGGTTGCATTAACTTGATCACTATCGCTTCGGCTATCTTAATTCAGTAGATCGAAAGCGATGTCACACTTCAATGAATCTCTGAGCAACACATCCTTCTTTGGAACTGTGATGACGGACTCACTGCGTTCACAAAGCACAGCGTGTATTCTGGTAAAGAAGGTTGGATAACTGTTTGCTAATAGCGTTTCAAATATGCGTTCTTTTTCGCCTGCTGGCGTCTCGTAGCGGGAGACTTTAGAGGCTTGCTAATACATACGGCAAAATAAGTTGAGGTTATATTTCAGAGACACGAAACTCAGAAAATGCCTGTATTGTTCCACCCACGAATTCTTCCAGAAGACAGTTCTCTCAAGAGAGCCGTCATCCCCTCTCATTAGAAGTAGGTTCGAGATAGGTTGATTCCTTGCGTCTTCGATTTGATTGCTGAAATTCACTAGTGGGTGTGCACCGCTGAGTTGGCTGTGTAAATCAACGATCCCAGCGCTTGAATCACACGTACACAAGGTAGAAACCAAGCAAAGCAATAACAGCTTGGATAGGACCACATTCAAGGTTTGCAAAGAAGAAGTCAAGAGGAAGAGTTTTCAAGAGTGAACCAACAGCAACTCTGTCAATCTGCCGATAACAGATTCCATCCAACACGAACTACCTGATGAAGATGGATGGTAAGATTAGTTCCTTTTGTTTTGGACATGAAATAACCATATTTATTTGCTATTTTCGGTTTGGGAAAAGGGATAACGCGTCAAAGGAGAGCATCACTTTCCGTCTACCTTCACGTCTTTACCTTTTTCAACAAATTCAAACACACCCGTCCGAGAGTGTATGGATAGTTCATTATGTACTGATTCTATTACTTCGACAATCTAGTTCGCTAATAACTGGAAAGCAGAAGCCGATGTATCATTTATAGATGGTAGGTGGAATTGTAGTTGCTGCACTAATGATATGGCATAAAGCCGTGGGGTTAAGAGTCAGCAAGAGTTGGTCGATCAAGTTGTGTCTTTTAGCGCGTGCGTCTGTTTTAGTTTCTTCAAGACTTTTGTAATTTTTGTCTCACATTCTGCGGTCCGGTTCTTCTAGACTGTCTCGCGTATTAACTTAATGGAGTCTTGTAAAATAACGTGAAGTTTCGCGACATATTCGAACCTGTCCATTAACATCCATCCCGATACTTTATATGGTCTAGAAAGAATAAGGATTCGGTTGTATTTCTTTGACTGCCTCTCAGTCTTTCTTGGTCAGGATGTTTGAAGACCTGTTCTCGTAACATAGCTACTGTTGAGAGATGTGTAACAATGTTGTTTTGGAAGGGTCCCAGGCGAGAGAACACGTGGGTGTCAATTCAGCTATTTGTTGGGTTTGGTTACCTAATTGGGTTTCTAGGTGAACAAACCCACAATCTGGTTGAATAAAGCAAGATTTCAGTCAAGAGATATGGCTTTTAGCTGCAGCTGACTCCATGGTATACTGGATAGGTGGTACACATATCTTACTGGATTCATTGGGAAGTTTGCTTATAGTAGAGTCGGATTACAGCTGTTTAGGGTTTCAAGCATTTTATTTCTTCCACTTTTGGTCGGATTTCTCTTAAGCCTTTCTTAAGAGAATCTCATTGAACGGTACACAACTCTTCGAGATTAGGTTGGTAAAGTGCACGAATTCGCCGCGATAGCTCATAATGACAATTAGCGAAACCGAACGTAAGGACATGGTTGAGGGCTTCAATATGGCACGAAAGATTTGGTATCTATAAACAGTACTTCCAAGTGATGACGGCAGAACTGTTGTCCGGGCTTATAACGAGTTTCTATGTTTCATGATTTGTCCAATTAGGAAAATAATTTGTGCTTGGTCGCAACGTAACTCCTGAAATTCGCTATCTGTGAAATACCGACACATCATACAGTCCTACTAGGAACAATCTGTGTATCCCTGTCCTGATTCATTGCACTATTTACCATTGGCGCAGTTCTCTGCGCAGGCAGTATAACTCATAAGTTCAACAGAAAGTACCGGAGTACCTGTTACCTTGTAAATCAATTAAATGGAAATGAATGATGGAAATGTTTGTGATAATTTTGGACTGAAAACTACCACTGGTTGGAGGAAAGTGTTAATATCGATAATCTACACGGGCCATTTCTTGTCAGGTTTGTAAGTTTTGACATGTGGATAACCCTAGGTTAAGGCGCAAGAAGAATAGGCTAGTGAAAGTTTTCTAAACTGGCGCCTTCTTTCTTTCGCTTTTCAGGAACATAAATTTCCGCAATCCTGTGCAAAAGTCCGCGTTATCTGGCCTAAACCATGCGCGATAGGACGCCATTTTTTTCTGAGTTGCGTCGCAATTGCCTATAGATTTTGCGGTTAACATTGCTTCCTGGGTCACTCTTAATTGATTTAATTCTTAAAACCAACGTTCAGCGAAACTAGTTGACAGAATTCAACTGGTCTGGAGGACTGCCACAAACGGCATATTCAGCAGCTTTAGTTGGAGTTGTGAAATTTTGCTGAAGGAAGAGAAAAGTGGAACTTAACTCATTCAGAACTATAAAAGTGTTTGTTCAAATGGCTAGTGAAGATTTTTTAATGTAAAGAAGCAATATCATGTGGTCAGTGAGGCTGACCAATAACCGAGTATGGGGCAAAAGCTGTATATACGTTTAGTCTGATGGAAGAAGGCCGATTAGCGTTCATTTACCTACCGTGGCTCCCTTATGGTGAACGCCGGTCAGTTACGGTTGTTGTTCCCAACATCCAATAGCCATGCAATGGTTAGCGAAATTCGCAACATGCTACTGCGCATGCACATACATGAATTTCTCTCTCACCTTAGTGGTGCGGACGCATGTAATTCTCGGCAGACGAATGATTTAGTGCAGGGCTCAGCTGAGAAAATGCCTAACCTCTAAAGACTCACCGGCATGAGGCTGTTGATCTTCGGGCAAGATGACTACAGACAACCACAACGTGTTTTCAGCTTTCGCTAGCTGTCAGCTAACTTCGCGCTGAGTGCTGAAGGTCATGGCCACCCGTAGGCGTTGGAGCGATCGATGGTTATCTCTGTGTCTCGCTGGCTACGCAGCGGTCCGCCTAAGCAAGCAAAACTGCCACGTGAATGTGCGCACGTGATGGCAGCGCAGCTGAGGATGAGGTTAGGCATTGCAACTTTTGTCAATATTATTGAATCACAGGTAACGGAGCACGAGCAGACAATGCAGTCGGGATCACGTAACGTTCCTGTTACTCAGCGCGCGCTTATTATTCGGCTGTACGGTGAATGCGGTTTAAACGCCGAATCAGCTTCAAGAAATTACAATGCAATGAACGCAGGAATGCGTCACCTCACCGCCCGGTATGTGCTTAAACTAGTGAAGAAGTTCGAGCAAACTGGGTGTGTGTAACATGAAGAGAACCGGACCGCCTCGCATCACCACGATCGACTGTTTAGCTTGCGCTGTAGTCAGTGAAGTGTCAAAAGGTTCCGATCTCAGCATCTGTCGGATCGCACAGCACTGTGACACGACCCGATATGCGGTATACCGGATATTACTGGAACGAAAATTTCGGAGATTCCGTGCACTTCAAGTGCAGGTTTTGAACCCATGCGATCCGGGGAAGCGGCATGAATTTTGCCGCTGTTTTCTGGATCACGGGGATATTCGTTCTGTTATCTTTACAGATGAGGCATTGTTTCATCTGCATGGAACATCGAAACATTACTGTTGGGGTACCAGCAACCCACGAAAATTTACCGCATCACGTATGCACCACACTGTGAAACTGATAGTTTGGGCCGGATTAACAAACCAGAAAATGTTGGGCCCATATTTCTTTTCCGGGAATGTGACCGGTAGGTTGTTGTTTTCAAGTACTAAAGCCTTATCTTTTCCTAGCATCGTCGTATTTGGAAATGCTGCAGACATTTATGCTTCCCCAGTTGGAGGCCGAAGCGGCATGCAGTACCATTTGGTGGCAGCAGGATGGTGCGCCTGCACCTTTTGCTAAAAGGTA